GGGGGGAGGGCAGCAGGGCAAGGAGCTCCGACCCTACAGTGGGCAGCCCGCATCCCCCCACCCCCACAGGCTCCACTCCAGCTATGCCACCCACAGGGGAGAGGGAGCTGGGCTCCACTCTGCTGCAGCAGCCGCTGCCTCCCACTACAGTGGGTTTCTCATATTTCTAGTATGAATGAGTTCACCTAAATTACGCTGTAATAGTGATACTTGAATTCAAGAAGCAATGCCACCAGAATGGAGCCAGTGGCTCAAGACAAGGACACCCCAGCACATGCTTGAGTAACAATGGACAAAGCCACGACCCCCCAACACCTTATATTCGGTCTCCAACAAGGTGCAAACCTTGTTCTGCAAAGCTGGGAACAAACAGATCACAAGGCCGCAAAGAGTTCCTACTCAATATTTATTTATTCTCAGTCCTGGGCTTCATGCAATTTGTTTGCTCACCGGGCAGGTATTTGTTCATAGGGGGCAGGGGGGAAGCAGAAGCAGAAACAGTTGCTTAGGTTTTAGGAAAAGGGAAAAGTCCTAGAAAGCTGGCGTAGAGGAAAGAGAAGCAGGCAGTCAAGTTATAGAGTCCTGCATGGTTATCAACTCAGCGCGTACATTTAGCTTTATAGAAACACAAACATTTCACAGACGTGCAAATACACGTGCCATAGGTGGAAAACCATCCTGTGGATTTAGCTCTTTTCGAGGATGCGCAGGCAGATTTCACAGCGTCCCCACTCCATGCCAATGTGCATGAACGCAGAGAAATCCATTCCTGGGGAAGCGTTTCATGTTTACAGTCTTAGCTCTTCCTGAACGCAGTCGCTAGGACAAGTGGTACTGCACAGAGGAAGTAGCAGGGAGCTCGGCAGCCTGTCAGTGCTTCTAGCATATTCGAAATAGCCTGTCGCTTCCCCGTACGCATCCTGGTGACTGCAGAGGGAGACTGACTGCTACCAAAGGTCAGCAGCTGGCCCTGCAGCAGCCTCCTTGCTGCAGATCTGGACGCTATGGAAAGCACACTGGCCAGACAAACACAGCAGCAGCCTGAGTCTGCATTAGACAAAAACGAGTGAGTCCCTTCACATGCTTAAAACACTTTATGATGGCACATGAAAGGCACGAAAGAAATTAAACAAATCACTTGGTAACTTCATCCCCATCCAAGCAGCTCGTTTTATTTTGGAGGAACCAGCTACAGCTACAGCACCAAAATCTTTGGCTTTAGAAATGCAAGTGAAAACTTTTGCGATGTCACAACAACAGGACACTTTCTAGCACTGTCTGGCTTTCCTCCTGGCAGCTGAATTTATCCAGATCCGACTAAAACAGTGCAAATCAATGCGAATGCCTAACAGGCCGTTTCTGAATTCAATAGAAACGTATGCTGTGTAGGAAACGCTGTGCGAAATCCAATGTAGTTCTACAGATAAAGTAGCAGAGTCTACAGGTTGAGTCCCAGAGGGGCATAGGAGGCTCTTGATCAAAAGAAGGTACACCCCTGTCCCAAACCATTGAGCTAGCTACAAAACACCACTGCCAAATATGACAAGACAGGTTCCTGGGAACGACAGAGGCTACACATAGGAGGGCCTGTGACCAGGAATACAATATCCTAAGGGAGAGAGGATGTTCCTGCTTTGTGCAGACACATAAGAAAAACTTCTAGCTGAAAGAGAAGTCTCCCTTTTGAAAGCTATCCTCTGTGTTACAGACCCGTGAGCCAAATATTTCCTGACAGCCTTGCCAAGTGGTGAAGGGAAGCTCAATTATGTGGGAACTGCATTAACTCGGCAGGAACCCTGCCCTGTGCCAGTCTCCAGACCACAGGGAGTGGAATGGAAGAGTCCCTCACCACCACAGGAACAAAACGTTTTGTTCTGTTAATCAAGAAAAGACAGATCCTCTTAAAGCTGATCCTTATTCCAGGCCAACCACTGTCGGTGGAACAGGTTTCTACCACCATGGTAATTCTGGTCCCCTGCAGTCCCCGGGGCGGTTGCAGAATCAAAAGCAGGGAACAGCAGCAAGTAGGATGCTCGCCACCCTAAGCAGCACCAGGATGCCAGGTACATAGTGGTTTCTCTCCTGTGGCTTGCATGACTGCGCAGTGGATAAACCTTCCTTTCACTGCGTCAACATGCTGCACGTCCCTCGCATGCAGGTTTCGTGGTCACAGAAGTTCGTGCTTTCCAGGGCGAACAGAACAAGGTTTTTTCTTACGCACACGAAGCAGCTACAAGGTGACAGTGATGGTCTTCTCCAAGTTCATGAAAAGCAGCTGACATAATTGTCACAACAATCCCAATGAGGTTGCGATAGCCCACATATTCAGGTAAGGGACATATCACACACAAGGAAATACAATATTAAATTTCACACATTTCAATTTGCTACTTTTTGAGAGTTTCATGAAATGTAAAAGTTTAGATGGTTTCGTTTTGTAATGGTTTTATCAAGTGGCATGCACAGGTCCCTCCTGACTGTTATAGATAGGGGGGGGGGGGAAGCCAAATACATCACTGCTCATTAAAACTATCAAGTATTAAACATTCATCGTAATTAAACACACCCTGCAAAGTTTATAAATGTGACAGGACTTCAGTTTCCATTTGTGATATCCTTTTTTTTTTTTTTACGGCTACTAAATAAAGAACAAATAATTATTTATAGTTTGTTAGGGCATTAAAAGAAATTTAAAAATATCATTAACTCTTAGCTTCCTTAATATTGGGAGTTTAAGTCAACAATTGAAATTTCTTCCAAGATTTTTACTTACAAGTTATACATGTAAATCATGTATTTACTGATTAGCTATTTGAAAATACATTGGAAGGTATCTTTACGTCAGAAGTATTATACACTCCCTCTTCTGGCGATGCTTAAAAAACACAGCTTGCAGGCTTTGAACATTAGGGACAAAATGCCAGCTCCTTTGCTTCTACCACTTTGTGGCATATATTCAGGAATATAATATTATCATCGATAATACTAATGATAATTTGAGATACCACTGTCAGGAAATAACTGAAAAGTCAGAAACAGCAAACTGGAAATCAATACGAGAATAAATACTCCAGTACTTTGGGGGGGAACGCCCCCCCCCCATGCAATACCAATTAGATAACTGTAAATAAAATGTCATTATTCCTCTCAATATTGTAGGCGTTCATTTTATCTTGAGTTTTGACACAAGCCTGACATTTGGGCAGCTTTTGGCCAGCTCTGGATGTCTGCGGCACTGTGAGAGATGAGAACCTACCAGCAAGCGTAGGACTGATGTCGGGTTGCTGCAGAACCAGCAGAGGGAGCAAAGCATGCACAAAAAACATTGTTTTTTGCAGGGGTCCACCATGAACAGCTTCCTTCCCTGTAGCTCAGTTCTGGACCTCTTCTCCAATACAGACACTCTTGCAGACACTCATGTCCGTGGCATTACAAAAGTCGCGACAACCTATTGGTCGCAGAAGAAGCCACAGCCACATCCTAAGTACCCCTACATTTTCTAAGAAATATAACTGATGCTACAGAAATATATATTTTGCATGAGGTAGAGCAACAAGAGCAAACGAACTAAAGAAAGACAAGAGCAAAGCGAAGGATTCTAGTAATCGGGTGTGCGCCCACGCACGTGCATCTGTCCACATCCCAGCCACAGAAATAGCGAAAGCAGGACTGGACTATTTTTCACATGTAGAAAACCGTGTCATGTCAGTCACTTGTACAAACTACATTAAAGCAAACATTTTCACTTCAAAAGGAAGAAGCCAAGGTACAATTTTTTGTTGTTGTAATGTCTCTTCTTTCCCCATTTTTTGTTTTTAAAGAAACGCTGCCCCCCCCACCAATTTACCTAATGCCACCGGATTCTTCTCTCTGGGCCTCTTTTTCTCTCTGCTTATTTACCTTCCTCCTCACCCTATTTCCTTACTTGCGTTTTTCCTCTCACCTCCTTCAGTTTTATCTGCTTTTCTTCCCCTTCTCTCCTCCCCCATGGATATCCCCAGCCAGACTGCAACCCCGTAGCTTGCAGCCATGCAAAAGCTCTCCCAGTAAAGACTTGCTCTTCCTGCAAATGCCATCGCCTCCCTCCCATATACCTTTAGGCAGGTTCCCCACAGCACTCCCCCTCTCCCTCATCCCAGTGACAGGTCTTATTGTTACTGGTTTTGTGGGAAGCCGAGCTGAGCAGAAATCCACGCTGGCAATGCACCATGCTGAGACTTCTCAGAGCTAGCTCCTAGCTGTGCGACACAAGGGAATCTGTGAGTGGCCTCTCTCTTTTGTCAGAGTATGGCAGCTGCCTGGAGGTGGTGGGCTGAGAGAGGAAAGGGGGAGATAAAAAGCTATGCAACACAGAAATATACAGGTATGTGAAAATGGCTATTTTCTTCTTGGTGGTTAAAAAAACACCACCACACAACTCTCTTTATCTGTGTAGCTCACTACCTGACGCTGTTTCCAGAACTTCCCAGAATACGTCTTGCTGAAACGATAAAAGCTCTGTGGTGCTGATCTGAGGTTTGCAGTTCTTGGAATAGTCGACACAGTTCATGAGAACACATATTTCCCAAAAGCAGCAAACCAGGAAGCTTTTATAAACATCGCACTGTTTTGCATTTGGTCAAACGTCAGGATCGAGCCATGTGGCAGCGTCCCTTTAACACGGCGCCTTTGCCCCGAAGGGGCTAGCTCTGAGATCCCATGCCCTCTCCTCTCCTGCCCATGCCAGCAGGAAGCCTGTCTCTCTCCCTCCGCAGCGAGGCTCCTCCTCCCTCCTTGGCCTGCCGTCCTTCTAGCTGCTTGCAGCTTCATACTTCTGCACGCAGTGCTGCTCTAGGCTCCGTGCCAGTTCCTCCATGCCCGTGGCCTGCCCTCCCCCTGTATGCCATCTCCCCTGGCTGGTTCCCAGAAGGAAGGAGTGGTCAGGAGCTAGAAAGTGCCCTTGTAGCTGTGAAGAAACCTTTCAGGTATGCTGATGCCGTGCTGCCTTTCCTGAATCTGCAGGCAATCGGAAGCAGCGACTCTTAAGAACGTCACAATCTGCCCCATGTATCTGAACGATGGGACTTCACATCGACTTTTAAATTGCTTACCTATTTCGTTTACCCAACTGTTCACTTTAGTTGTACCGATCCATTTGCAACAAATGCATCTGGCTATCCTACAATTTCAGGTTGTTTCTTCTGGCTTCTCATCTGGGCCCTGACTGACATGTTCTTAAAACTGCTAACCTCTTCCCAAATTTTTCTAATTTATATACAGAGTTTAGTTGAGGTATTCCACACCCATATGCCAGACTTCCTTCTCTAAAGGAAAAAGAACACAATGCTTTTTTGCCCATCAATACAACTAACCATTTTGCTTCTTCCTCCTACTGTCCCTTGTTTAGGCACTAATCCTGAAAAAGAGAATGCCAGCGTGTAGTCCCAAACTTGGAATATCGCTGTGCAGGACCAGAGGTTTAGCTGGAAGGCTTTTAAACTTTACATCTCTCTCCTAATGGAAGAGAAGACATTCTCCCTACATCCAGAGTCCGAGATGCTCCGATTTCTGCATTGTGTGCTATTTGCTCCAGCAGAACAGCAAGGAATTCAATTCACACTAATCAATCTCAGGCAAAGAGAGAAGAAAGCATGCTGTGCTAATTTTACATATTATGTATTTTAGCAAGTACTGCACTGTAGCTAGAATGATATAAATTACAGATTAAGCAGTAAACTGAACAATGGATTTCCTTGCTTTTTAAAGTTTGATGCTGAACATCGCTGCTTTGTTATCAGGTATTACCCCAATCTCCCTCTTTTATGCCTACAATCAGGACTTGAAAAATCATGCACCTACAGTAAGAAAAAAGATTGGGCGAGGTTATGCCATTAACGTCTTCAAAAAATGAAGCTTTTACCTAATAAAAACGTTTTATCCCCTATGCTTACAAAAGGAACTGTCTAAGTGAACTGATTGTGATGTTACACTTAAACCCAACGCCCACCTATTTTATTCTTAAAATTTTGGGGAGATGTGACCATGGCAGGACAGCATGTTATTTTTTACCCTGGCTGGGACGCTTAGTACTTAGCCAATAGTTTCTGGGTATGTATTTCAAGCCCTGACTGTAACGCTGGTATATTTACAGTGACTTACTTTTGCAGGTGGCAATGCTTTCTTATTTAACGATGTACTATTTAAAAATAACTAAGTAATCAGTCGAAATATTTTTTTGAAACAAATCCTATGCTGAATTGTGAGCCCATTCCTTTCTGGGAATATGCCAAAATGGTTCTTGCTAACGCTATAGAATTTCACACAGCTCTGCCAAGAAGAAATTAAGCTAGTCGTTACTGCACCCAGAAACTAAAATCTGGCTGCTGGAACCTAGACTTCGTGAATGACTGTATGAGGACTGGCTCACGCTGCAAAAGGAACCTGCTGAGGTTGCCAATGATGACTTTTTTAATTATATATACCAACTTTGGCCTAGTGTATGTCAAAAACCACCTGTGCCTGTTCGGCAATATGCATGGCAGATTGCTGGCCCAACTGTGCAAAGCTAGAGGCTCTAAAAGTTTTCCTTTGGTTACTGGACCATTACAGGAGAAGGGTTTTGGATTACCAATATTGTCAGAAATTCCTATGATTTGTATATTTTTACACTGGTCAAGAGTTACGGGTGAACAGCAGGCACCTAATTACTGAGAAAAATTAGTCTACTGCCAAATAGATCATAAACATAAATAAAGCCGTGTCCATTTAAAGGACATACGAGCTCACGCAGCCTTCTAACAAACAACAAAAAAAATACCCTTCAAGTTTGATGGCTCCAGAGGCAGATTCCTTTCCTCTCTCCGCTTTAAATACCATCTAGCCCAGACACTCCATCTTTGACTTCATATTTCCCTTCCTAGAAACGATGCTAACACCTTGAGAACTTCAGAACAGAATCTCAAAAAACTCTTAAATACCGATGTCAAGTTTTTGGCTTGGCCAGTTGCTGTCAAAACTACTTTGCAGGAAGTGAATACGAGATCATTTATGTTCTGGTTCCAGCTACGAGGCAGGGGAAGTAACTAAATGCGATGCTAGGCTGAAGAGCCTCCGATGCTTAAGTTATAGGCGATATTAGAAATTAAGAAAATACAAACATAAAAACAACCCAGGATATTACTACAACCTATTACAAAAGGTCAAGTACAGCAATGCTGATTGAGATTATTTTTATCAAAGCTGCAGAAAATTAATGGGACCTTTTATCCTGATTAAAATCAGGTTGAATAAGTTTTTCATCTAGACACAAATGCTCGAAACATATCTACCAGACACTCACTACCCCCAGGAGTAAAGCGGACTAGCCAAAGATGCCATAAACAAGTGCATGTGAAGGAATTGGCTCGAGGTGGTGAGTGGAAGGGGTGGCGTAGGAAATGCAGCCCCTGAGATGATGCCCCACACACACTTGAAATTCAGGCTGCTGAAGCCCGAGCTGGGATTTCCAGGGTGCTGGTCACCGTCCCCATCAGCTGCTAGCTAACAGGTATTTGACAAATGTGAACATCTGCTTTTCTCCACCTGCTGAAAGGAGAAAGCTCCCCAACTTCTCCCTCTTCTGGCAACAGCAGGGTTGGGGGTGGCGATGACCCTAGCTACCCCTCTTCAGCCTCAGGGCCTCCCGGAAACCGCCGAAGGGGAAGGTGGCCTGTACTATTCTATCCTTCCCTCCCCCCCAACCCCCCCAATCTCCCTCGTTTAGGCTGAATAATTAGCATCTGCCTCTGCTGCTGCTCTGAGCTTTCCAAAAGGGTCAACAAGGTGAAACAGGCATTCTTCACAGCTTCCCTGTTGTCCACACAACAGCAGAAGTGAAGCTGAATAGAGTAGTTAATCTTATTTGCTACTGCATGACAAAGCGGTGAGAATCAGTAGAGGGACTGGGCATGCCTGCCTAGGGATTCAGGAACATGATACCCTAGCACTTTCTCTCCTCAGGGTTAGCGCTTATATAGCTTTCCACAACCATTAAATAATTGACAGACAACATGAGCAAACATCTCACCCACAGATCTCAAAATACCTTAAGGTACATTATATCCATGCTGCGAGTGCAAAACCTGCGACATGGAGGATAAGTGACTTTGCCAAAAGCTGACTAGCAAGGGTCAGAATGCAGGAAGCATCAGGCCTACAACCCTGAAGTTTGTAAGTGTTGCTCATATTGGGACCCCTGTGAGGACACAGCAACATCTAGAGGTTGAGCGAGAGAAAGGGATGGAAAGCTGAAGGGAAAAGGAAAGAAACAGGAGACAAAAAAAATGAAGGACATCTCTCTCCCTCAAGTCACAGAGAAGGTACAGCATGGTTATAGCGATGTCAAGTATCATTTGCCCCCCTAAAAGTGTAAAATAATCCAAAAAAACAGAGTTATTTTGAACAAACAGAATAATCTGAACAAACTGCTTTTTACACAATACACACCATGTAGGAAATCTACCCAAGGATATTAAAGAGGTTATACAAAGTTTATTGTGTGGACAATGGAATTTTTTTTCAGGGAAGAGTTAAACTTATCATCATTGATAGAGAAAATTAATACCACTGTAAGCTTCATGTGTTTTTTAAAAATATTTTTATAGCACCTTTTTAATCCTTTACAAAACTAGCCGCCTGGACACCAACTACAAAATTGCATTTTGCAGTCCAATTTTAATAAAATATTTATCCTCTAATAAATAGCAGTCAAAACTGATTACAACTGCAATTAGTATCTTACGTACTTGTTTTAACTGCTTCAAAAAAAGAAAAAAGAAAAAAAAGAAAATTTAATTTCAAATTCTGACTAATATCCTTTCTGGCAGCACAACAAAGATCAGCAAAAAATAGAAACACCAGCTGGACACAAGTCAAATAAATTAATAGATTCCTCTATAAATATATTTCATTAAAATGTTAAATGCAGTTAACTGAATAAGATTACATTTCAAATCATCTGATTACATGTCATCTAGGAAAAAAGCATATGAACTAAAATGCCCTTTCAGCCTACCTAGGCAAACAGTTTATCACAAACATGATTTGGAGGAAATTAATTAGCTCATTATCTTCAGTGAATAGTTTGTTTACCATTCCTCTGACAAAAATGACATTTTGAAAGAGCGTATTCTACTTTGGAAACTAAAAATTGCACTGTGACAAGCTTTAAAGAACACCACGTACAACCAACACTACCCAAAAGCTGTATAACCATCTAAGATTCCCATCTCTCTGGTAGTGTTTCAAAAGAATGGAAAATTTATAAAAAGCCATGACTTGGAGGGGCTGCTGTGATTTTTTTTCTTCAAATCAGCTGAGACCCAGTTCAAAAAAACAAAACAAAAACCAATCCTAAAATAAAACCACAAGTGAAAGCTCTTGCTCAGTGGAAAATTTGATTGTGAAAATCCAGAGACAATGATTTTCTGCATGTTTAAAGATGACCCCAGCAATCTTTCCATGTGCAGGGGGCCTGGACCCGATGATCTGGAAGGTCCCTTCCAGCCCCTAACAACAAGCACAACCTCCCTACCCAATTATTTAAATGCAAATACTGCTGAAATACATCGTTTTTAAAAAAAGGGGTGTTTTCATTGTCCCTGCAATTTTCTTCATCCTAGGCAAACGCTGGTGTTTGGAAATCACTTGTCTGTGGGATTTATCAGCAGCTTTTACATATAAGAGAGCTAAAATGAGAAACAACACCTAACAAATGAAACAAGGTAAGGACTGAAAACAGAAAGCATGAACTAGCTCACATTCATATTGGCCTGCTCATCTTTCTGAAGTTAGATTATACCAAGCCAAACCCTTCTAATAGCGGACGACACCACCCGGCCCTGTTTTTCCAATCACTGTGGACTCCACCCATTTCCTTCCAAACTTCTAGACAGTCGTCCAACTTCCTTATTGTCTATAATAGCACACGTTAACAAGAACCTTGACATTCCTTATCACGGCCTTTTACACTTGTTTTGAAACAGCTCATTCTCATATTCAGAGTAAGAGGCGAATGTTTCTAGCATGTCTGAAATTTTTTTGGCATGTCACATTCCTACAACGTGAGCGCAACTGATACAGAACCTGTAAAAATATGTTAGGCTTCGTTTTTCACAACACTGCTTTGCAAAATCTTCTCCCCCTTGCCCTTCCCTCAAAGTGAAAGCAATGTCTGTGTAAGACACTTAATCAAACTTTAAGAACAAATGCATGACGACCTTCTACATATCTCCCAACACCTTCAGTCTCCCGGAGTGAGCAGCGCTTCAATTTCCAGGCCCACTCAATTCATGACCTGTCTGCTGAGACTGCCAAGAAGGTTTTCATGCCAACAACTATAATACTGGTTTCTGTAATACAGACACCTGACTGCAAGAAACAGGCTGGAAGTCATCACATTATTTCACAAAGTTCACAAAACGATCTGCAATGTAACATCAGCTTTTCCCTCTACCATCCCATGCCCGTTTTAAGTCGGTGACCTTGAGATGAAAGGTTCTGCATCTCAGCACTCAGATCTCCGTCCCATCCAGTCCTCCCCCATAATGTATTTTTAACAGTACTCAGAATCACTTTAATGTGATATATTAGAAGGATTTATTGGATGGCCTGATATTCAGAGACCGGTGAAAAAGTGGACTGATGAGGAATAAGCTTGTTCTCGGCCGGTACTGGCTCACAGCAGCTAGATGAAGGAAAGTGTTTCCCTTCCCAGAACTCTGGAGTACATTTTTTTTACTGCTGCTTTTTTCCTAAACTGGTAAGGAACAACAGTTCTGTCAGGCATGCCACAAATCAGCCCCTCCCTGAGTGCCACTCCGATCCCCTGCCCAACTGCCTGATTTGCTCTCTGCTCCCTGTCCTACCTGCCTGTCCCCTCCCTGGTCTGCCACATATCACACACACAGAGGCTGTCCGTGTCACTTGTGGCATGCATGCCACAGGTTGGCCACCCTGTCCTAAATCATTGAGAAAGAAAGAATTATAACACAAACCTTCTCGAGGACTGTATTTGTCATTTGAAGTAGGAGAAAGAGGGAGAAGAGGAGCATGTGATCCAAAGGAAGGAAAACCAAAGAGGAAGAGAGATGGGGGAAAAAGGGATAAGTCCCCTCTGCATGCCCTGGGAAGAATTCCCTAACCAACATTTACCATCCACAGAAGTGGATCCTTTCCAGCAACCAGGAAAGTAGGGGTGTGCATCTGCAGGCATGCATACACACAGACCCCACCAATATCAGGAAAAAAAGAGAGGAGTACACTTGCCCCATATTAGCATTTGGTTAGAAAACTTACTCTAAATTTCACCAGTATGGCAGAAATCAACATTCAAGGAACCCAATTCAAACAAGGCGAAGACTACATTCCACAATTTTGTATTTGTTTCCACTGCAGTTAAAAGAAATGGCTGCCTCCCTCGGTTGTCTTTTGCATAGGAAGTAATACTTGAACTTGCATAGCACTTCACATTTTCTTAGTGCTGTGTAAACACTGGCTCACACCAACCAACATAACAAGAACTTCCTAGCACAGTTTATATACAAAAAATCATCTGAGCACTAAAGCAAATGAAAATTGATCCTTTTTAAATAAACTAGCTCATTACTCTCTCATGTGCATTAAGCTCCCTCCCTCCACAACAACATCTGGAAGTTCAGTTTTCAGCTCCAGTTTGTGTCTCTTACTGCAACTGCACAACTCTTAATATTAAAAGATGTGTGTACACAAGCTACACACACAAACTTTTAAACTGGATTGTACAGATTCAGGGTTTCAAGATAGGAGCATTGAAACAGTCTACTAGCATCAACAAGGACAACCCTATTTGGATAGATGGACATTTTTCCAAAAAGGTGCTAAAACATTTTAGCATTTAGACTGAACAGAGCCTCGGTTCTCAGCCTGCATTTACAATACAATGATGTTCACATCATTCACTTCAAAGATCGTGAAGAGGGATAATCAAAAATTGCCAGGCTTAATCCCGAATTAACCTCATCCTTAATTATTAAAAATAGTTAAGCACTTACCATAATGTGATTGAAATGCCTGTGGTTTTACGACCTGATTACAGTGGTTACACATCACCAAATAGAAATCATCATGAGCTGGACAAAGACCAAATATTGGCATATCTAAAACAAAAAGACAAAAAGGGCATCTCTCAGCTGCTTACAATTAGGAAAAAATAATTATGTTAAAGAGCCATATGACACTATTCAAACTATCATTTACTACAGCATATTTCAGTACATGCTGAAAGTGAGAAAAAATGAATAGATAATAGCAATAGTTAAATGGTGAAATATTACAAAACAAATATTTTCTCTCAAAGCTAAATTTAAAATAATTGCTTATTGGCAGTTGACACCTAGGAGCACTCTGATTGAGAACTCATTATTCCAAAGCAGATAAGAGAGAATCGTTGTTTTTTTTTAGGACATACAACATGAGAGATGCTTTGTGTTCTGAGAGCAATTTAAGTTCTATTCCCCTTTCTTTAAATGAACTCTAAAATGAAGTTTATTTTCTATTTAAAATTTTGTAACCATTTTCAATGCACAGTCATTTACCAGGCAGCATTATGTATCTAATGGTTTTATTTGTTTAACAGTGCATTATATTCCAGCCATCTGCTACCAGAGAGATCCGTGCAACAGTTATACAAGGGAGAAAGAGATAAGAGTACGTCAGAGTAGATGTGTATGCCAGTGATAAACTCGCATGCTTTCAGCCTTCTCACTAGTAAAATTTGTTTCAGCAATTTTGTTATTTAAGAAAACCAATTTCTCAACACTGCCGATTAATGATTAAAAACTCTCCAGTAATTTACAGATAAAGTATTACATAAAGTATTAGATCACAAATCTAAACTATTACATAAAAGTGAAATTCATATTCTTTGATTATTCAACTGTTCAAAAAAACCCCCAAAAGCCTAACAAAACATATAATTAACAAAATACATAAATATCTTCCCCAAAGGTACGTGGCATAACCCAACCAACAATAGTTACAAAAAACTGATTTTTTTAATTGTTCTCTTACCGTACACAACATTAACACAATAATTTCCACAGACCTTTACATGCAAAGGTTAACTTAAATATAATCAAGTTCATTATCTATGCATTAATTTAATATTGACAACAGTGTTATTTTTTTCAGCATGAGCATATGTCAAGGAATATTTTCAACTGCCATGTTCTGGGAAGGATACACTTTGATAATTAATCTGAATTCTGTAGGAATTAAAAACTGATTTTGTGATGTCTAATATCGACTCTGTCTGAATGAATACGTCCAGAGTCCTCCAGGATGACTTCCACACACAGCAGAGGCCGAATAACTTCAATTGTGCTTTATAGAGAGAGACATCAGCGTCAACCCACACAAATCAGCTTGCAGAATTAAGGCCTGCACTTGTCACAAACCATTTTACTGTCGGAATATTTAACTATTTTTTCTAATAAATAAATAAAAAGCCTCTCACGACCCTAATCCTGCATTGTTCTTTTTTTTTTTTTTTTAAATACTCTCCTGAACCTTAGTTTGAAATTAAAACGCACAGGAACACGCAACCCACTGGCCTCTTTTGGAATCCCACAGGTAGCCACATGCGAATGTCAGATACGGATAAATCAGGTATGCTGTGATAAACGGACAGAGACCAGATTTAATTTTATCCTTTCAAGTACCTAGCTTACCTGTGACATGTACGGCAACTGAAGCTACATGAAAAGGATAACTATAAGAAGTATTTGTTAACACAATTTGATTTCAAGGACAGCCATTTTATAATTTGCACCAATAATAAGCCTTGGGGGTTTTTTATACGCAATTAGGAATGTAGCATTAAAGAAATACAAGGTGAAACCTTACATAATAGTATTTAAAATTACCATAGATTAGGTAAAACACAAACAAATATACCCTAGACACTAGATTCTAGAAACTAGCAGCTCTTTCCCAATATCTGCCTGCCCTGAATTGCTTCACACTGATAACTGTGCCAACTGAAAAGGCAAAGGGTGAGAGTAGAGGAGGAACCTCTTTGGGCACCTCTATATAGCACCAGACAGTGCTGGAGAGCACTGCAGTGGAAACAAGCCCCGAGCCCGACCCACGCCGTCCTGCTCCACACATGGCGCTTGTTGGAAAAATGTCATGGAGCCGGTTTTTGGCACGCTCCGGGGCATGGCCAGCACTGTTCCAATGGCAGCTGCGTGACATTTTTTCAGCTGGCGATGTCCGCTAATGCTGCCTGACACGGCATGCATATGTTCTCTGAAGCGCCGCACAGAAACTTCTGCCTTTAAACTACTTCACACAACTCTAGAAAAACAGTCCCTACATATTGCCTATTGTCCTTTTTCTTGCAAGATAAAACAACTCCCTACCATTAACTTGAGACGTTATCAAAGCGGCCTTTTGGGAACAAACAGAAAATAGGGGGTTGTTATTTGAACCTGCAAGTGAAATCCAACTGTTTACATTTTTCAGAAGCCAAAAATTTCCATACAGACAAAAATGTATTCCTGTTTAAGTTCCAAAGTTTAAGAAGCATCTTAAGATTTGGATAATATAAGCGTATCTGTTCAAAACAATTCACAGGCACGATACACTGAAGGAAAACAGAAACACAATATCTAAGTTTGGAATATGCGACTTTTTTATTGTGGTTTTTTTTTCTTTTTTATAAAAATAACACAAACCCTCAAAATAGTAGGTATTCCCAAGGGTCTGCATTTGCCTGCCTGCCTGTTACAAAAACTGCCACGCTTACAAGAATCCAAGACTATTTCAAATGTACAATAAACCTTCTACATATACAACGGAGGGTCATTTTAATCATCTTCCCCCCCCACCTACTACTGCAACAGGAAAAGCAGCAGCAGGGGGGCAAGTGGGAGGGAAAGCCATGGTGGGGGGCAGGCAGCCTCTTGCTCCTTATACTCCACCTGCGCCAACCCTTCCCCACCGTCTGTCCTCCTGCCACTTGCCTCCTGCCCCCAGTGCTCCCCTGGCCTTACTCTGCACTTAAAACTTCACCATGAGTTCTGTGATGCACCTTGTCCCAGAAGAGCACACTTGTTTTAATGGACCACAGACTAATGGTCAGTCTTTCATATAGTTGAGATCATGGATCCGGAAATTGCTTTGATGATGAGGATCACATTTTAAATGGGCATCTGTGGCACTCATATGCTCACTCTGAACTCATACTACCCACCTAAACCAGCACACACAAAACATAGCCTCTTACAAAGTTGTATATTTAAAAGTGGATTGTCCTGCATCATCTTAAAAGATTAACTCCCAGTAAGGGATATCACTCATTGAATCCCTGCTCCTCTCTAAAGTGAGCAGACAATTGATTGCAAAGCCACCTATCCATTTACTTTCAGGCTTGCACACACGCACATAGGCTTGCTGCACCTCCTTCTGCACTGTCTGTTCTCTCTCGAGTAGAGAGGGTACTGAAATGTATAATACTGGTACTTTCTGCATTGCCTGTAGTAGAAATTGTGTGCAATTCAAAGCTCTTATTTCTCAGAAAAGAACAAGGATGGAGAGCAGAGGTACTGTGCTATATGAAAGTCAAGTACAAGTGGTGGGCTGAACATCAGCCTGTGACAGCAGCCCTCGTTAACAAGTACAAAGTTCTTGTACAAATCCTAAGTACAAATTATGTCTTAACTAGACAACAAGCTATACATGTGTATGAAACATATTCCCTGGCCTTTTATTTTTCAGTACATTTATCCTGCAGCTCAAATGCTTACAAAACCAATTTGAGAATCCAAGTGGCAGAAAACAAACGACTGTAAAGAACTATATAAACCTGAGTCAAAGAGCATAAATTCAGAGGGAACAGCACAAGCAAACAGCAAAGTGCCTACCAAAAGGTCTGCATTACATGCAGAAAACTCCAGCTGTGACTTCAAAGGGAGTTTTATATACGCAAGTCCTGACATCTCACACAAATGAACTAAAATGATCTTTCATTTCACGTGTTTCCACACAACTGAGATAAAATAAAGAATGGGACTAAAATCCAAGGAGAGGTGGACAACAAAGGAGACAAACGCATTTACTAGCAAAGCCACTCTTTAAAATCTGTATTATTTTTATCTTAGTAAAACCGATGGGCTCTGCAAGAGATATAGCATATAGCAAGAGATAGTCCTGACCCCAAACCCCAGCCTACTCTCAGAAAGGCAGGAAAAGAGTGTGTGAAAGGAAGTATTATTACTGCTTTACAAACAAGGAACTGATGCCGAGGGTTTGAGTGACCGCTTGCAGCAACATCAGCTGTTTGTAGAAGGGTCTTGAATTGGACCCAGGTTTCTCAAGCCTCAGTTAGGAGCCCATCCAGGGAACAGATAGGATCTTAATGTCCTCCCTTCGCCGACTTTATTTTGGCACGGTTCTTACAGTGCTGCACAAGATGAACAGCAAACAAGTTTCAGAGAAATTGTGTCTTCAGTTCTGAAAAGGAACTTAACCTTTGGAACACAGAAACAATCGTACTGTAGGTGTGCTGCGTAACCGGTGCATGAGGAATACAACAGAAAGTACGAAATGTATTTAACAAAGAGAATTCAGTACTAAACATCTACCAAATAAACACTTATATTCACCCCATTTTCCCCTCGCTTCAGAGTTGGGCTAAAAATCTTGTACTTTTATGCTTATCTGATTTAACGCCATGCAAATAAATTCATTCTTCATTTAAAAGTCTAATGCAGTTTATAGTATTTCAACAGTGCCATTTCATACCGCTCCTCTGAGCTTCAAGATGACATTTTAAAATATTTAACCATAAAGCCCATGCAAGAGCCTAGCAACCATGATCTACACACACTCATGTCTCCAAGACTGGGCTGCTTTAACTCTTGACTGGGCAAGGCCAAAAAAAACCCAACCAAAAACAACAACCACTTTCAAGGGAGCGCTCCATTTTTTGTGGACAAACGCAGTAGTTATGCAGGACCAACAACAGAAGCTGTATCTGTTCTAGGAGGTTCGTGTCAGATGGACCGCCTTAACTTCAGACAAGGAAGCACACTCTAATTGCCTTCATCACAGTACTAGGGTACCTACTCCTGTGAACACCAGAGCTTCAGCATTCACTTGTCCATCTCACAAATGTTCTGGCCGCACTGACGGCTGTTACGTGGGTTCCTCATGGGTTTGGGTTAACTCAGAGTCACCCTTTTAGTCCAGTGTCAAGATCCTTTCAGGGGTGCCCCAGGGTGGCAAACAATACTAGCACCATTAGGTATGCAAACAGGATACACAAGATCAATCCAGAGATTTCAAATAAGAACGATTCAACCTGTTGTGGTCTTTCTGAGTTCTTTGCAACAGAAAAGCTGCTCTTATTTTTCAGCAATCAAAAAGCAAGTGCAAACGAGGAGCTGGCATTTTGCAAGGGATGCCTCGGGTCTAAAAAGGTTGAGAACTACTGTTTTAGCCTACAAATGATGCTTCATCTTTTTTGCGGATGGGATTATTTAAATCCTATTACTGTGTTTTACTCTCGTTTTTAAAAGCCTTTTCCCCTTAATTTCATACTCCTGCACTATTCATCCAGTACAGAAAGAATGATATGTCCTCTCTTAGTTTTTTATTTTTACTTTTTAAATTGTATTTGGTGCACTGCGCTGCAAGTTTGCTGCAGAAGTTAAATGCTTAATGCTCAGAAAAGACCAAGCATGGAATTATTTCTGCCTAAAAAATCTAGTATTTTCTACATATTTTTAGTCTTCTCTTCCAGTGCTGTTACACTGAAGGAATTAATGTTTGTAGATGTCAAAAATACAGTGTCTTGGAACTCCCAGCTCCATGATTTAACACGATAGGGAACAGGAAAAGAAAGAAAATACCCAGCTTGGACAACATTCAGCAGCTTATATTTCACTGAGCCCCAGATTCTGAGTGCATTGCAGCTGCATTATGTGCCTTCCCTTCCTACTTCAACATTTAAACTGAGATCCTGATACTAATTTTGCAGTCACTTATTAGACTGGGACCAAGGTACTTCAAACAGAATCTCTATCCAGCACCCACTAAGACAAAATGTCTGCTCTGGAATGGGCTAAGGCAAAACTTTCAGGGAAAAGGTAGCTTTCAGTGCTGGGTCCAAAATTGCAAAAGCCTCCTGGAAGGGTTGAAAATAAGCCCTCAATCTGACTCGTTTCAGAGACTAATACACAAATTTCCTTTTTTTTTTTTCTTTTTTTTTTACAGAAGTCTGTTTACCACAATTTAAGAACCAGATGAGACAAAAGTGAAACGGAGGAAGAGAAAGAGAAAGCAAAAAGAAGGGGGGAGGAAAGACAAAGTGAAGCAATTAACACTTTCAGAGGGATAGTAAAAGAACATAAATCTGACAGAAAATGTATTTAAGTAAAAGAGCTCCATATAAAAGTTCTGCAGAAGTATTTGCACGCTTAACATTTCCAAAGCTGCATCCTATAATGGCCAATCTAAAAAACTGCTTTGTAAATCTAAATTAGAAAAAATGTCCAGGCCTGATTAATCACAAACTGTAAGTGTTAGCTGCTGTTTAATAGAAGTTGGCAAAATGCACTTCATATACTGATGTCAATAGCAAAATGCTTTGGCTAACTAGAACTGCAACAGCATGTTTAATAAGTTAGCACAACATAAATGTAATGCTACTCACCTAGTAATCTAGTCATCATTACATACTTATAGCCCTTAATAATGCAGATTGAAAGCGGTCTTGGATAATTATATTCCTTTTTATACCAATTTTGATATCTCTTTAATAAAATGATCTGTTCACTTTTGTGTTGAAAATGGTGCTAGTGCTCATGATTTAACTTAAAGGTAAATCCTCAACTAAAAGTCTGTTAAATTCCTCTTGTACCCTAGCATTCTTTTAAAAGTCTGGATTGGCCTCAGCCTTTGGCAGGGTGTCTAACACAGGTGTGGCAACTATAACTGCCCAATATCCTTTTTATAAATACAGTGTTGCCAATTCTTGCAGTTTGATCAGGAGTCCTGCAACACTTGCACTGCTGCTGGAATCAGACTTCAATCACAGAATCTCAGACTCTGTCTTAAAAAGTTTCTGGCTCTTTTATTTAAGAGCTCAAAAAGGCAAATGCTAAGTGTCCCAATACTGCATCAGAAAGCAGAAAAAACTTATTACTGAAATTATTACTTAAAAAAAAAAAAAAAAAAAACCTCATGATTTTGGTGATCCGAACTCATATGATTTTCTGGATGCACAAGGATGGCATCCAAAATAGATGAAAATGACTGGATTTCAACTGGAAAAGGGACTTTAGTTTCTATCACAGTGTTTGTGGGCAGCAGAAAAAAGGAGAACTATATTAAGAAAAATGAAACAAAACCATGATTAAAAGACCTGGAGAGCATGGACCTACAGTTGGGTTTATTTCATGGTGCAGACGTGACTTTAGAATAGAAGTTCTCTGGGGCACAGACTATGCGTACAGACACCAAGAAAACAGAATCCATTTCTGACCAAGATTTTCTTGGCAGAATAACACTGTTAATAATAGCAGCAGCAATAACCCATTCTAAAAAAAAAAACCCTTCCTTTCTTTTAGAACATATATCCCTATTTCCAGCCAAGAACACTGACATCTTCATACTGAAACCCTAAATGTAGATTGTGTGTTGCTAAAATTGGCACCCCCAAAATTTTAATAGTCTGCATATTCAATTCTCTGAAAAGTCTATTATATAATGTTTTAGAAAGCAAATATTTCAATACTATTTTTCAGAACAGAGCCAGCAGCTGAATGAATACGGGCAGCATCCAGAAGTATATATAGATTATCAGTATTATTATTAAAAAAATCAAAATCATGATAAAAGGTTTTCTGTTTGCTTTAGAAATAAATGACAACAAAGAATTACATTTCTAAACAGATCCTAATTCTTGTTCACAAAACATACCGGTTTAAACTGATAATTTTGGTTTACAGACAATTTATGCAAAGTTATTTTCCTGGGTGTGTAACTAAATAAATGCTCCTGCTAAAAACATATTTCTGCTTGCCTGCAAATTCTCACAGGCGTGTTTTATCAGTGATGAAAGAAGGGTCCATATTAAGAGCACACAAATACCCTAGCATCTGTATGTGCATGCAAATATAAAGTAGGCCTACAAGCAGGGTTTGCATATGCAAATAAGCTGCCTATCTACTTGCAGGCACAAATAGATACTTTTTGAAGCTCTAGAAAAAATTATTACTACTCAGTATTTTTATCTGTGCTGCACCAAACAAAAGGGATCTTTACTTTTAACATAAAAAGTAAGGGCAAGACAAGTGACCATTATGCCATGCTTCATAATGTCACAGTTCAAAATCAGCATGGCTGTCTAAGTTGAAATCACTGAACTTGTAAGAGAGGGAGTTGCTGGCCAGGTGCTTTCTGCAAAGTCCCCCCACTGCAGAACTCACACCCGGTTGCTTCCCTGCACAATCCAAAATTAGCTTTGATCTGTTAACTTCCTGGGCACAGAATAGAGCCCAACTGCCGAGGAGGGGATGGTGGTGTCAGGGTTCGTCAAGGAATACAAAAGTATACGGTTTGTGCTTTGTATTCTATTTTATGATTGACACCAGGCATTTGGGGGCTGGAGGAAGGACAGTTGGCAGTTTTGGTCTGACAATTATTTATTCTTGTTGCATTTTTAACCAGAGTAAGCGCACCTAAAGTGTATTACTTTACTTAAATCTAAATTTTAAAAAACACTACGGAGTGACCATAACTTGAACTTCTAATTTTGCAAAAGACTATATGCCCAAAAGACTGTTTCAACGTACAATCCAGGCCAAACGTATAACTAGGCCTGAATCACTTTGTCACAGGCCAACATCAGTGCTCCAGTCCTGATCCTTTAAGCACAACCCTCTGTCCTTAGTTTGCCTGTTGCACACAGACGTTGAATCCTCTCAACACACCAAATGGTGCAAGAAGCTGAGAAGCAACACAATGCACTGATGTCAAACTAAAGACAAGTTTTTGTGGTGAAAACTGCCAGGGTAAAAATCTATTTACCTTCCCCTGTGCACAGTTTCTCAGAAATAAATAATCCAAAATCAGATGCCCCCAAAAGTTGGTTTGCAACATACTGTAAGCTACAATGAGACTTTAGGTAGCCTAAGTCAAACATACGGGAGGTTTCTTTCAAGGTTATGAAAGCACTCACAATACTTCCTTACAGCTTTTCCTGCAAAGATGCAGAAAACTGAGATTTAAGTAGCCCATCCTCTAAGATTTAGCACTCTTTCAAAAATTAATATTCTGCCTACTGACATGAACAGAGCAGGAGGACATATAACAAGAAAGGGTGTCATGTATGCGTACACCTGCGATCTCAAATACAGCTGGGAGGTCTAATTTTAGGCCCAAGAGATTTGAGTATTCCCATCATTTATATTACGTATATAATACAATCCTCAGTCAAGTTCTCCGAACCCAAATTCCGTTTATACATTTATGTTTTAAAAAACTCAACATAAAACGTGTCAAGCTATTTAATCCTTCTCACCAAAATCAAACCTTACCAAACAGCAGTACTACTTCACTAGTTTTGTTCAGATTTATACCCATTTATTCTCTAGAACTTATTTCACTAAATAACCTTAATAATGCTTTCAAATTTCGTTCATAAATTTTGTTCTGAAACCAGGTATCATTACATTTAAATCCTTTCAGCAGAACAAAATACCTTCCCCCTCCCCCATCACGCAGTGGTATTCTATTACAGGAGGTTTTCATCAGAGCCTTGAGTGATGAAGCAAAGTCAGCCAGTTGCAAAACATATCCCCATCTGCTCATTACCTTGTTTTCACAGATTTGATGGTATTTGAAATTTCCTAAGCCATTCCATATATATTAAATTGCGTACCTAATAGTACATACCTCTATTTCTCATCATTTTATGCAGCATAAAAGTTCACGCTAAGTTAAGTCCTACATATTTTAGCCAAGGTGATCTCACTACGCTGTAATTTCAAAGCAGAGAAATTAGTATTTATATTATATGTCAAATAAGCAAAATGCCTACACTAATTGCATGGTAAGATTGCAAATGAAAATCAAAGCTGATAACTCAAGAGTAACAGACTAACATTACAACTAACCTATTGCATTGCCCTTTTTAAAATCATCTGCTTAGATGAGTACTGTAAACTTAAATACGTTTTTGTACTATTGTTTTTAACACACACACGGTTGGAGTACAGCGGTCTACCATGAAGCACCTGTATTTTCGCAACAGGGTATAATAATTTGTTAAATCTAAAACTTACAATTTACAGAAAGTTGCCATTGAGAGGGGGGAAATCCCCCTTCGGTGCATTAAAATAGCACGGTTTAGATGGCATTCTGGTTCCTGATTTTCGCTGTTTCCTGATTCAGCCATGATTTTTTTTGGAAGAGCCCTGATATGGATGTTTCAATAAAACTACGCAGTCTTTCCCCATGCAGGTAGCCCAAATAGAAGCCTAGGCACAAAATATGCAGTTGTCTTAAT